ATTTACGACGATCAGTATAAAATGAACTTCTCCTCTCTGGGATCCTGTTCAATACATAAATGTACTAGTGCAACTAATCAGTCAAGACAAACTGTACAGTTGACACTACAACCGTTCAGATGGGGTGTTCATGTCCATCTAGGTTGTGAACAACTATTCTTGTTCGCAAGTAACTGATAGAGTGATCTTCGGTTCGCCCGATGACGACCCACACTATCTAAGTGCAGAACAACAGAACGTAGAACTTGTTTAATCTAACATGATTCTCATTCATAAAGGGTAAATGTGTAATAACATGCAAAGCCAAGCTTTCAGTATATAACACTAACAGTAATTTACATGAGTGAAATATTAACACAATTTTATTAGATTTTCTACTTCTGTATTCTAATTAAACATTTTTTTTTTAATAAAATCAACAAATGAATTTTCCGAGGCAACCCAAGAGATCCGTCCGTTTCTATTTGGTAAGTTTTTGTTTATTAAATTTGTCAAGAATATCAGTTATATTGATTTGCGGAAGAAATAAATCACTTTGATTAGTTGTCTTTTTTAATTTAAGTATCGTATTAGGGGCATAAAAACACGATCATGTCATCTATATTATATAATTACTAGCTAATAGCATTTAATAAAACCTATTTAATTTTACCTATGTGGCAATTTAACAATTTTCCCTCCAAAAACCGTTACATTTTGATGTATTTAATCTTTCATTTAATCATTAAATAATTAATACTCATCACTTCAAAATTACAAAAATCATTTTAAACTTTTGATTAATGACAGTTGACCATATAATGTGTTGACCGTATAATGTGATTAGATGTTATTATTGTTGTTACATTTAATTTTTTTTTTTGAAAATAAAAAGTATATTTAAAATTTCTAAATAAATAATAAATAATTCACAAATACATTACATCCAATCAGATAAACGCAATTTAAAAAGAAAAAATATTCCAACTCTTTTAATTGTAAATTTGATATGCAAAAAAGTGAAAGAAAAATAATTAATCATTATATGCATACAGACTCACAATAATTTATTTATATCTATGCAAATGCACAGGTCGAATACTAGTTTGATTTGGTATTGAAATCTTTAAATTTTTTATTTCAGAGCCCGAGATTCATAGTAGTGTACTTTAGGCAACTAACCCCAAATGCAAAAGCCCGTTCCTAAGGTTTACGGTTTGCGCTACAAGCCCAATTGAAAAACCCAAGGGCATTTCTTTTCCTACACGCACACTAGGTTACACGTAAACCCTAACTATAAATACCGTTCATCTCCTCGATTGTATAGCAAAACGCGAATAGCTGTTTGAGCAAGAGAGGGATTCCTTTCCGAATCTAGACTTTCGAACGTCAAATCGTGCAAGTAAGGCTAAGGTTTTTGCCCCTTTTCTGTATCTCTTTTATCTTAGTGAAATATTGTGTTATGATGTTTTAACGAAATCTCTGTTTGTATTGTATGATTTCAATAGAGATGAAGGTGATAGCAGCTTACTTGTTGGCTGTTTTGGGAGGAAACACCACCCCCTCCGCCGATGATGTGAAGGATATCCTCAGCTCAGGTACATTTTTCTACTTGTGATTTTGTTCTTTTTCCTTCTGCTAGTTCTTTGTTTGTTTTAGTGTCCGGTTAAATCTGATTTTAATTTATTTTCAGAAGCGCATGGNTTCTCCATTTTATTGGGCTGAGATCTTTTTGAGGATTTGAGTCTGCTGTTAGTTTTTGTTTTTCTGTTTTTCTTTTATGTGAAAATTGTTTAAATTTTCTTAGTGCGTTGTGGCTTAATTAAATCCTTAGTTCGCTTGTTTTTCTGTGCTGGTTAATGGTCTGTCCTAATTAAACTTAAAAAACATTCAATCTAGTTACTTTTGTTTTGCTCGTAACATGTAATTACAGAGTTAGTTGTGGTTGTCCTTTTAAATTTGTCTTGTTTCTTATTGCAACAATTTCAGTTTGTTATGTAATCTTATCTGTCAGTTAAAAATGTTGTGTGGGTCTACTGTGGTAGAGGTTTTTTTGATTACAGATTCATAATTCTGTTGGTCAGTTTTCATGTTCTCTTATACATGTGTGTTCTGTTGGTGGCTTTTTGCCTATGTGACTGCTAAAGTATCTCATTGCAGTGTCAAAATTTCACCCTTGAGATCTAAAATAGTCTGGCGTAATGAATTGCTCCATGTTGATGTTTTGGATTGGCAGTTTTATAGTGGCAATTGAACCCAACTGACTAGTATATTTGCTTTGTTTTCGCTCCATTTTTCTACAAAAACTTTATTATCTTATGATTTGTAATTTCGTTTTGTTAACTTTTATATGGTATTAATCATCTGAACGTGCTTATTAATGATCATAATCTGTGATTTTTCTCAGTTGGAGCTGAGGCAGAGGATGAGAAGATAGAGTTGCTTCTGTCCCAAGTGAAAGGCAAAGACATAACTGAGCTGATTGCTTCCGGAAGGGAAAAATTGGCCTCTGTGCCTTCTGGAGGTGGTGCAGTGGCTGTTGCCGCCTCAGCTGGCGGTGCAGGTGGTGCTGCTCCGGCTGCCGCTGCTGAGACAAAGAAAGAAGAGAAAGTAGAAGAGAAAGAGGAGTCTGATGATGTGAGAACAAAGATATTTTTTCATCTCATTATGTTTTATTATAATGTGCATCTAGATGGAAATTTTACAGTTGTGCCTGACTTCATTAATTTGTTTCTTGTTGCAGGATATGGGATTCAGTCTCTTTGATTAAGCAGTTGCAAGAGTGACTCTTTTGTATGGAACATCTCTTTAATCTTGTTTTTTTTTTTTTTTAAATCTCTATCTGTAGTAGATTTGTCATCTTTCAATGGTTTTGACTCTAGCACTAGTTTGAAATATGGTGTTTTGATGCATGAAAAGTGGATTCAGATTGTTTGAAAAAATGATATACTTCATTTCATTTTCATTACCTATTTATCGTGTTTTCAGTTATGCTCTGTTGCTTTCCAATTTTATTGTTGATGTTTGCTTGCTTGCTATGTTATGGTCCTGTGTCTTGGTTTTGATGTTAGATTCACTGTTGTTTTTGCTTGTTTTCCTACTTCACAATTTAAGTTAATTACGACCTAAAATCATCTAGACGTGCGTCTACACTATCAGCGAATCCTAGCTTTAGGAAGAAAACTCCTAAAAAATAAGACTCCTGCTGAAAAATAAGACCATTGTGCTTCATACATTTTTTGGCTGTGTATCTGCAAAAAAGGATGAGTTTATGGTTTAAATTATGTATAAGAAATTACTATCGTAACATCCTCATTATAAGGAAGATAACTAAGATGAGGAATTGCAACGTGTATGCTGAATTTCGTAAACAGCGTGACGCAAACTCCGCCCAAGGTCACAAGTCTATGTAAGTGACAATATTCATTACTTTGCTGAAGTTGCATATTTGATAAGTAGGACTATCAATCTCGATCGATTACTAGTTTGATGTTTGACGTGGTGACAAAATGAGTAAAAAATCTATACCTGATAATATACGACCTTTATAATGTACTAGGCTGCACAACATGAAATTTGAAGTCACCATATTGACATTAAAATGAATAGGTGTTATACGAATAATAAAATAGATTCTCAAGGTTGTTACTGTTAATTTTTTTTTTTTTTTTCTATTTTTCTTTTACATTCGTGTTCCATTTCAACTAGGTCTACAACAATGACGAAATAGATTTCTTCTTCATGTTTAACCATAGCATACATCAAGTTTTTGAACGAAGTTGTAAAAAAAATTGATTTTGTACTGATGTTACGCTTTTATTTATTGTGAATGAAATACTTAGAAATATCTTAAAAACCATTTACTTTAGATCGTCTTTATGTCCTTAAAAGAATATTGGTTCGTCTAGGAGGTAATTATCTCTTAGGTTTATGGCAAATTTATTAGCAAACTCCAAGGATAGAGTGAATCATATTTGAGAAATTTACTCCTACTGCTGGTTTTAATCTTATTTTTAAGGATATGATAAACAAATCTTATTTTTATACATACAACTCTCATATTATTTAAAGTAATGTTAGAAAAAACCAAATAAAAATGCCACATGATCAAGTCAAGACGACGATAATTGGTTGCAAAAGAAAAAGACAATTCTGTTTGCTCTGTTGTACGTCTTCATTTCTTTTGTGTTGGTATAATTATTGTTGATATTAATGTGGGTTCCTTATTTCAAACAAAACAGTAAATTTGACAACAACAATTTTGTATTAAATTTAGTAAATTTGAAATTTTTGATGAGAACACCACCAAGTAATGTTTTCACCCCCAAATATACACATGGTTGGTGTATAACTCGGCTGAACCAGCAGCAGTACAATGGTCAGACAACAAAATTGCAACTGGTTTAGATCTCATCATATTTTCTAAGAAATTTGTAAAATTTATAAGTTTGCAACAAGATGGGACGAAAAGAAGACAACAGGTGTTCCACAAATCATACAACCATGCAATGCAGAGCTCCCCCACACAAAATATAAATAAAAATTGTAAGTGGGGAGATTAGGGCATGACGTGTAATTTCATGTCGAAATCAACAGATAAATGGCCATCAGGAAATTTAATCCTCAAGGCTGCCGGAGAGCGCTCGAGCGGCAGCTCCCTCGACGGCGTCGCCTTTTTGCTCCGATCCGACTTCCTCAAAATATATAAAATTATTGAAATGCCCTCAAAAATCAACATTTTTTAGTCAATACCACTTTTATATCCTCTTTAATGTTTAAAGGACAATTTGACAAACCTGTATAGTTCAGGTGGTGATTTGTAGATAAAAATATTTTAAATAGTGATGTAAATAGTTCGGATGAGAAAAAATTTTTTGTTTTTTTTTTTCCCCTTTTTTTAACTGGAACAATAAATATTAAGTTGGAAAAGAATGAACGTGCAATCAATCATCGGTGAACATTGTTTGGCACAATAAATATTAAGTTGGAAAAGAATGAACGTGCAATCAATCATCGGTGAACATTGTTGAAATTGCTATGTGTGGCTTCGAGGTAGTAAATAGTAACAAGTATCTGAGTATTCGTGAAATACTAATATTTGTGTACGAAGATGCAAGTTTAAGTGACCGAACTCAAAACTGATAAAATTAGCAGCCAAAAGCAGACAAAATTATTCATCGTAAAACTTGTAATTATTGCCTTGTTGGCGCCAAATATACAACAAATTCGCATTTTTCTCCTAGACAAATTCTCCCAACATTGTCAACATATTAACTGTCAAAACCAGGACTCGATCTCCCACACATGAAGGAAGGAGACGTTCGAAACCACCTGGGCAGTGAAAAGAATCATCCGTACCAAAGTTCATAACAAAATCCATGAAAATCAAAAAGCCCACACGAAAAGTCAGCAAATTTCAGGGCTTGAGAGCAATGGAAAGACCAAACTTTGGGGCCACGTTGACTGCCTTGGTGTCGTACTCCATTGAAAAAGTTGCAAATGATTTTGGCCTCCATTCGCGCTGCCCCAAAATAGCAACTCTGCCATTGTCAGAAAATCTTGTTTTGACCGAGGTGAAGGGATCGATTTTGTGGGCACTCCCAATACTGAAGCTGTTCTCAAAACTTGATAACCTGTGGGTCATCTCAGCAGCCACCTCAGTCCCCGTAAAAGGGTTGACCAAATGCACATAAGAAGCCTTCACTGTCTGTCCCTTGTCCGTCCTACGTAGATTTACCAAATAAGTTTTTCAGAATTCGTACTGTGTAATGGAAAAAAAGTGAAAATAAGGGTGCAGACCAAGTTTTGATTAATTTGGGGGTATATTACTTTCTAATAGAAAAAATGAGAAAAAATTAAGCTCATATTGGTTCGGATAAATAAGGGTTATGCAAAGTAACCTTTTTAACTTTGAGATTCCAATTATCTTTAAATATTACAAATTATACAAATTCGGGATAGTACATATAACATCTTTGAAGCTCAGGCAAATTACAAATGGAACATCAACTATCATAAAAAGTTATAGATACACCATTGTAATGTGCGGGTAAGCTTCGTATTTGCACAACACATATCCCCTCTTAAGGGCATATGCAAAGCAGAAATAAATGTCAGAATGTTACAGAGAATTCTTCAAGGTGACACCGCTTGGTTTTTCTTTTTTCTTTAAACAAGCTCAAGGTAATCTTTGTAATTATCCCCCAAAAATTATCTGAGAACTAAAAGCGCATGCAAAATCAGTAGTCGTATTTACTTGAAGAAAGTTTCACAAATTAACTAGGTCGTTCATTATTTAGCAAAACATGGAAGGTACTAGTATCCATACATAATCTACAATCATGCCTAGCTACATATGCGCTCATCACTGTGGTCAAATACTGATCAATAGCAGATAGGTTGTTTAGCTGCAATACCACCAAACATTCGCAAAGCATGCATCCAATGCTTATAATAACGAGAAGCAAACATAAATACAACAAGCTGAAGGGCAAAGTGATTTACGTACAGTATAAGGGCTGCAGAAAAGTCAGGCTTGTTGAAGCTTACTCCAGCATTGCATTTGGTAAAAGAGGAGGATGAGGTGTCAAATCCGATTTCACCACCAATGGCTATGTCCTTGGATCCAACTGCAGCAGCAACCTCCAGAAGAGGACTAGGGTACAGTCCAATACTGGAATTGATGACTGCATGATGGTGAAGATAATGCACATCCAGCTGAGGAAAAAAATGTTAGCAAAGGTAATTAATTGTTACAACAGACTAGTCAACTTCTTAACCACAGAAAGTGGTACTTGTTTTCATTTTAATGTTTCTCGGCTTGAAGAGCACATAAAGGGACACGAGTTCACAATCTCAATCATTGATTTTAACAAGGGTAACGCTGCATTTTACATCAAACACCCATGATTTTGCTATCTTGAAAAAAGTATACTACAACAATTTAACACCCTGAAACTGTAAGTTTACCTGTGATCTCAAATGCACAGTAAGGGTAAACATATAACCAACACAACCCTAATCAAACATTGCGTGCTAATGATAGATAAAACAGATAGTATCTCGAAGTATTCAATATCATGTTAAAGACTAATTTACTTTACTCCAATCCTTGGAGATCTTACTCTTGATGATAATCTCCTATCACAGAAATGAATCTGTAATTTATCAAGTCTCAGATGGAAGGTTAGTGTCAGGCAGCAAAAAATTATTTAGAAGCTTAAAATGTATGTAACTGCTACTGGAAGGGTTAAGCAGTTATAAGTCCATAAAAAGGAAAGAATCTTCATATTTCACAGGAAAATGTAAAGATGTAAACTAAATATGTCTTTGTTAAGATGCCCGACAATTGCACTTGAACAAACTTTGTACTGCAGGTTGTGGCGAACTCAGCCCCAGCCATTTCCTTTACAGATATAAAGTTAATTACACCTTTTCAGTAAACTATTGAGTGTCTTCTCGCTTTATTGAGAAAACTTCAGTATGAATTAAATTCCAACCACCATCATTCACGCACAAGACAAGCATTTTTTAGTATTAGCAATTTCAATTCCAAATCTGGTACCTTGCTGGATTTGTGATCAGGAACACTGAAGCTAATTGCTGCTTTTGTGCTTGGCACCAAATCATATGTTACCTTGGTAGAAACCTGAAAATGGATGACCTCAAAAATTTAGTTCTCATGATTGACAATGTTCACTTACTATTTATAAAATTTTTGTTTTTCTTAGATGAGTCTCTGCCCCAATTGCAAGAGTTCTCTTACATTAGAGTAGGTATCAACTTTAACATCCACAGTAGCTTTTCCACTTCTGTACTGGGTACTTATGTCACCAACAAATATTTGATCCCTTTTCACTCCAGTAGCAGTAAGTCCCTGTCAAAAGGATAATTTATCTGTAAATCCACAAACTAATTTGGGATAAATCAAGGTGCTACATACAGACAAAATTAGTAGGGTAAAAAGGGAATAATTTGGCATATAATTTTTCAACTTTGGTCAGTGCAACATAAAGCAACAAAACAAAATGTCTTAGCTCCAGTTTCTCAGTTGAAATGAAGCACAACTTTCATTATATCTAGATGAGATGAACGTTCGATAGTCCCAAGAGAAAAATAACAATAAAGTGGTAGCTAAAATAACATTATACCATTCCGTTGGAGCTTGGAACGGAGAGGGAGAACTTTTGATCATAATTGTAGTCTTTGGTCAAGAGATCTGCATTGAAAGCAAGCATATATAAATTACTACAAAGATGGGGGAACTTTACGAATGAAACCACTTTAATGATCAGATATTGCAATAATAGAAATTAGATTCATAAGCGCTAATCTGATCATCTGCTTTTGTCTCGTTCCAAATAATCGCAAAGCAAGCTACTATGAACACATCGTAAAATTATTCTATAGAAGGTATCGTCTAGGTTCTTTTAAGATGAGAAACATCAAATCATCTACAAATCTTAGATTTTTTTTTTAAAAAAAAAGACGAAGAAGAAGAAGAAGAGGATCATATGTTGGTAGTAGAAAAAGACCCTTTCGCGTTTTACTCCTTTCCCCTCTCCAAAGATTAGTTAGATCATAATCCTATTTGCAGTCATACATGATAAAAAGAATAAAAATAGATTCCATTAATTAGTACTACAGAAAGGCCTACAAAGTAGCTGAAACTAACGTGGCATCTTGAAAACAGGAATTTATAAATACTCAATCAAACAACAAATTGAGATGGACACACAGGTTAAGAGGAAGCATGGGGTGAACTTCAGAGGCACCTGAGTTAAACACATAAATTAAAGAAAGCGTCACAATAACTCTATACATGTAATTAGGAAACTTGTCCGACAACAAGAATAATTGGTAGTTGAATAGTGCATTATTGACATCCAAAATACGTGTCAAAGTAGTGAGATTTTCCTCGTGATTGGATTATCTGAATTACAAAAGTAAATGATGTTTGAATTCAACAATACCACATTATTGATATTCCAAGAAGAACTTCAGAGTAAATTCTTTTCCTACCAGATTTCCATTATGGCAGAGACAACATATACAACAACAACAACAACAACATACCCAGTATATTTCCAACAAATTGCCAACAAGTTGGGATCTGGGGGGTCAGTTGTACGCAGACCTTACCCTTGTAATTATACAAGGAGGCTGTTTCCGTAGCGACCCAAGGTGCATTACGCCGTTTGATATATATATTTTTTTTTCTAGAAACTTCACTAATAGAAGAAGCACTAGAATTTAATTGAGTCATTTTGATTTAGTCCATTATTAGCACTATGCCAGGAGAATTGTCAACAATGACTCTTCCATCCCCATTTGCAATGGACAGGCAGAGACAACATATATTCTCGCATTAAATACTACACATCGAATACTATTGAAGTTCATCAAAATTGGATAATCAAATCTTCCAGCATACAAGAGTATTAATATTCGCAGTGATGCTTTCAACTTTATAGTCTACACCACACATGAAATAATGCATAAACAAACCATTCATCAAGATATAATCCCACAGAGTACCTAAAACCAATATGAACCTAATAACTACCAATAACCAAAGCAACATCCTCATTAGCGACAGAATAAAAATTACATGTGCAACTTTGCTATTACTAATAAAAAAAGATATCTTTATAAAAGTTTACCTCTAGCACGCCTGCCAATATCTGAAAATGGAGCCGGACCGTTAGCCATAGCTTTTACTTTTGTAATGAAAGAAGTTCAAGTCAAACCTGGATAACAGGTTAGTAGGCAGTATTAGGAACACGTGCATTTCTTGCAAATTTTCACTAAACATCAAGATTCAGAAACAACAAAACACAGCACGGCCAAGCCACCAATTCAATTACCCACAATTAAAAAAAAAACACAAAAGATTAAAAACCACGGATATACACCCATATTGAAGTAATGAAGAGTCATGGATTAACCACGGTATTCAAAATGAGGAAAAACAAAAACTAATAAAGGTAATAATTCAAATCAGGAAGCAGCACAGCACATTAAACTTCAATTCATGAACAAATAAACAGACGTTCCAAGAACACACAACACAAGCCCACACACACGTCTTATTCTGTCTACGGATAACTGTGTAGAAAATGAACACGCGAAGAGAGACTTCTTACAGATAGCTATGATCGCCGACAAGCAGCGACCACCGGCGACGACAACGTTTACTATTATATGTAGAGAGAGTGAGGGTTTCAAAAGAGAAGCGCAAGATCGGAGACGCAGCTCGAGTTAAAAAAACTGAGAGCTATGATTCGATGTGATTTAGGATTGGGTTTCTATTGGGCCTTGTCGGTACAGACAAGTAAAAGACACCGAATGTAGCTTTACAGCCCAATGTAACTATGCTATGGGCCTTTTGTGTGGTTATTTTGTGGCTTAAAGGACATAACTAATTAAGTATTAAACAATAATTTCATTAATGAAACCAAATATATAGAATTCCATAAATGTGTCAATAGGAAGTTATTTATTATACAACCAATTCAAATTTTAAATCAATAACTGATTTTTCTCTCCTATTTTCATTATCTCTCTTCTTTCTCTCTCTCTCTGTATTTTTTCACGTTTTTTTCTCTTTTCCCTGTCTTCTTCTTCTTCTTCTCCTTCAAATATGAATGTCTAAAAAAATACAAAAAGAGAAGAGATTAGTCAATTGATTATATACAAATAAAATAATTAAATTAACTTAATAGCAACACGAATATATTTTATAAACATAACAAAACGAGATATGTAACAACAATGTAACTTCTTTCAAGCAACACAAAAAAAATAATATGTAAACATTAAACTTCTTTCCAGCAACATAAAAACAACAATATGTAAACATTAAAATATCAGTTGTCGGGAATTCTCAATTCAATTAACACCGTACACTATCTAACTTAATTTTTATGTCAATCACTGTGAAATTTTTTTTAAGTTTTTTTGCAAAGATACAGTGTTTCTCGTCTTCTTTGGAGAAGAAGATGAACAGACAGTATAGAAAAATCAACTAACAAAAAACATGTTAAATGTGCGTGGGAAAAATCAACTAAAAAAAACTGCTTAAATGTGCAAAAAAAATAGGGCAAAATTTTCTTGCTCAACCCAATAACAAACAGAAAAAGGTTCCAAATTGTCAATTTCTTGAAAATCACCCAACCAATTGAAGGAAATCAAACACACCCCATTTAAAAAAAAAAAATGAAAATTGTAAAATTGAGCATCAAAATACCAGCAGGAAATCTTTGTCCTTGGACTGCAAATGGCCAAATCCATGGAGGGATCAGATTCGAAGGTATCGTTGTAGTCCTGAGCATTCGCCGCAATCATCGGCCAGTTGGAATCGTTGTGTGAGGAGTACGGACAACTAGTTCTGTGACTCGGACGGTTTTGTAGAGGTTCGACAGAAAAATTCCCTGGTAGTGACAGCGTTATCCGGCGGCTGAAAGAAGAATAGCGGCTGAGAGAAGAATAAGAGAAGTTTATAATGAATTATGTGGACGAGTTTTTGAAGATTGGAGTAAAAATAACCGCTTGCATGTATTGTCCAGTTATGGAGTAAAATTGGAATGAAAAAGCTTATTTTTGACTTAACTGATTAGTAGTTTTATTTATGTAAACAATATTTTTTAAAAGATATAGGGTGTCTTTATTTCTTATTTTGTGGCAAAGCTGGGCACATGCACACATATGGATTGGTAGTAAATTATTGAGAAGCACTATGACTATAAATAAGCGTACGAGACTTGACAAAGGGGGACACGTTCCTTCCAGGGGTAAAACCTTAGGTCGGGAAAAATTCGCAACTCCTTTTCTTCTCCTCCCTTTCTTTTTCTTCTTCGTTTTCCTTCTTCTTCTTTTCACTTTTATGTTCCATTTTTCTTCTTCTTCTTCTTAGTAATCAAGGATTGAGCTTGGTATTTTGGGATTCAACACTTGATATTGGGATTGATTGTAAGTCTTTCTCTTTTGATTAATTCATGAAAATGATTGTTTTGAGGAAAATGATGTGTTGAATTGATTTTACGTAGCTAATTCTTACTGCTAGGGATAAGGGATGATTGTTCTTGTTTAATTTGCATTTGTCGGGCTTGATTTGTTCATGCTTATGTGAGTTGAATTGATTAGGAATTGATGAAATTTGCTTGATAGTTTGATGTAATCGAAGGGTGACACTTCGCTCTTGCAGTTGGTAATAAGTGGATATTGAGTTGTCGAGTTTGGTTTTGTTGATTCCAATGATTAGTTGATTAAACACCTTCTAATTAAATTAGCGACTTTTTGAATCGAAAGGGGAGAAGTCGTAGACATAGGCTTGCATGAGATAGATAATTTCGTAACTGAATAATCCATGGGTTGAGATTGAAATATGTGTTTGTCGATGACCCGTCCCTTGTTACGAAAAGTTATTGGGATTGGGATAATTGGCCTGTGTTGTATGCTCGAGCTTGTTCATCTATGTTCAATCCCTTGTTACGAAGAGTTATTGGGAGCGAACCGCTAGATGTTTAAGCGAGGGTGTCAATCTCAAATCGAACAATTGATTGCCCAGCTTTGCTAAAACTTGAATTAATTATCTCCGATTCCCTAGCTTCTCCATCTTTGTTTTGTTTATATTCTTGGGTAGATTATTGTTTTTATTTTATTTCTTAGTTGGTAATTATTCGACCCCCATTCTGATTAGAGTGTTTAGGATTCATTTTCTTTTCGTGTGTAATCGACACCAAAGCTAGATTCCGAACCGCCTTCCTCGAGAGATCGACTCGGGAAACGAATCCTTGATTCAATACTCGGTAAAACATAACAATTTGTACACAACACTGGGCAAGACGATCAGGCGACCAGGGGAAGCGCCAACCGCATCCCAGATCAATCTGCCGGCCGCAACAACGCGGCTCCCACAATGCTGGATTTAACCACACTCATGCAAAACCCAGAATTTGCCCGGGGGTTTGTCGCCTTGTTGGCCCAAACCATGCCGAGGCCTTCAAGAAGGATGCAGGGACAATCCCTCGCCCCGATAACGCCGGCGAGGCAACAAGTCCCCCAGATGCAAGGATGCGATAACAATCATGCCACGTTGCATGCAACGTCGCAGCCACTGGAAAACAACCCACAAGCCCCGCCGGCAGGTAACATAGTCCCGCCAGAGATGAACCTGCCGGAGATGACTGCGGAGAGTCACTCTGGACATGCCCAAAGAGCTCCACCCCCAGCTCGGTCGCTGTTTCAGCAACCCGGAATTCTGGCCGACCTACGACAGCAAATTGAAAGAAATCGGTGTGCCAGACGTGACACCTCAGAAGTGGTGGCGCTGAGAAGAAAAGTCGCGGAGTTGGAGGCCCGATGTACCACCAAGTCAGGCCTCCTCTACACTCCCGCATGTCCGAACCCGGCCACGTATATGTAGAAATTGATTCCCCACTGGCACCCGAGCTGACCAGGGGTCCATTGCCAGGAAAGGTCAAAGTTTCGCAGATCGGAATCTACGACAGAACCTCCGACCCCGACGCTCACCTCTGTCATTACACATCATGGATGGACTTACACGGAGCCGATGACGCCCTGAGGTGCCGTATGTTCTCCCTGACATTGGGCCCTAAAGCCCAGAAGTGTTACTATTCGCTACCAGCCGAGTCGATCTGATACTGTCACCAACTCAGGTCGGCTTTCAGGTCTCACTTCATTGGGGCCAAGTGTGTTTAATCCCGAAAGAATCGATCACAAACATCGTCCAGCGAGAGGACGAAAGCTTGAAGGACTATGTCGCACGTTTAACGAGCGTGTGCAGAATATGGAGCCATGCCACCCAGAGACACTCCTCGTCTCGGTGATATCAGGCCTGAAACCAAATTCAATGTTCCGCTGGGCACTCTGTCAGAACAAACCCAGCACTTTTCAAGAGTTCCTTGCCCGAGCTCAACCATACATTATCGCTGAGGAGTCCATGTCGGTACCTGACCTTGAATTCACGTCGTCGAAAGGCCAAAAACCAACTTCCGAGAACAAGAAGAAGAAAAAGCACTTCGGTAGCTCCTCGAAGAATCCACTATTCAGAGAGCCATTCAAAAGCGACCCCAGCGACCCGGATGTAAAGGCAGCCAGAAGGCAATTCAAGGAAGACCTAACCTCGGGTTACCGATCAATCTACTCGGTCGGGGCCGCGGCGGTCTATCAAGAAATCAAAGGGAAAGGGATCATCCCAGAAGCTTGACCTGTAAAGACCCCAGAAAGTCAATTGGATAAATCTCGCTACTACTGCGATTATCATAAATCGCCGGGCCACAACACCGACGAGTGCTTCAGCCTGCTGTCAGCACTTATGAAACTCATCGGAAACGCTCAGATGAAGAGATTTACCAAATCGAATGAAGGCAAAGAGAGGCGATATATGGTCCATATTCCCGACGGAGACGAAGAATACGAGAGGGTTATGAATGAAAAGAGAATCAGGTTGCAGCAAGGGGACAAAGAGATCTTTATGTTTGGGCCGATTGGTCCCAGGTCGGCTGATATTCATCATATTTTCATGCATTATGAGTGATATATTGTGATATTTGGCCCTGGTTATCGTGTGATTGTGCACCATTTCGTTTTATTTATTAAACTATGATAGAGGTGTTTTTGTCGTTGTTGTTGCAGGAAATATGCCCGGAAAGCGTTGGAAATGGAATCAGGACGAAAAACGGCAAAAACGGGTGCAGAAGAGGTCACACAACTCGTGTGGATAGTGACACGGGTCGTGTGGGTTGAAGAAATAAGAGACACAGCTACGGCTTTTCCACACGACTCATGTGGGAAGTGACACGAGTCGTGTGGACTCACACGACTCGTGTGACCCGGTCGTGTGGGTGGTAGTGTGAGCCTGGGAGTTTGCCGAAATGTTGAGAAAAGTCACACGACTCGTGTGGCATGTGACACGACTCGTGTGACACGTAGACCAGACCTGCGGGGAATAGGATTCTTGTGCGATTTTTTTCCTTTTTCGACCCAGACTTGCCCTACAGTATAAAAGAGGCCTTAGAAGCTCGTTTTTGGGGACTTTTGACACCATTGGAGGCCTAGAGAAAGTACGAAACATACGAGGGATTCGAGGAAGTCAAGATTGAAGATTCGGGAACTAACGGCGACAATAGTTCTTCTTTCTTTTCTCTTTTTCTTCTTCATTGAACTCATGGATTTATTTATTTTGAGTTTTGAGAATATGTTTAGTAGCTAAACCTTTTAGGGATTCTAGGATTTGCGAGTACTCGGATTATTTTATGAAGTGATTTTGTTTATTCATTCCGGTTTATCATTCG